ATTTAATTATATTCTTATTTAACTTTATAATTTAGAAAAAAATATCATATAAATTATTAATTGAGATAATAGTATTAAAAAAACAAATTTTTTTGGATTATAAGATGAAGATTAATAATAAATGTTTTATAAATTTTCTTAATATTATTTTCTTTTTAATATGATTTTATATATAACTTTTGAAAAAATATATCGGTAATTATTAAAAGTAATTTTAAATTTAACCTTAATTATTTAATTTTTGTATTTTAATAACATTATTATAAAATTTAAAAATTGTTAATAAATAATATAAAATACAAATTCTAATATAAAAAACTAAAAAATAACGGTACAACACACAGACAAAAAACCTAGTTAAATATATAATACACCTAACTTTCACAGTAACATCTCATACTACTTTTTTTCTTTTTCTTTTATGGCTAACGATAACAATAACATCTCATACTCTTTTCTTTTCTTTTCGTTTTTTTCTTTTTTTTATGGCTAACTATCAAACGCGATATCCAATGTAGCCCAGTCAAAGTCCTCCCTTAAGAACAAACAACGTTACGTAAGATCGAACGTCCTCCCTTTCTCTGCTCCAATTAAATCTTCTCTTCTTTCAGCATCGTCAATATTGTTCCACACAGCTTATTCCTCAGCTCTTCCTGCCTCCATCCATGGCGTCAAGCAGTTCAGAAATTGAGAAAGAATTCAAATTCTTCCGCGTTTACAAAGATGGGCGGGTCGAGTTATTTCGCTTCGATTGGGAGACGGTTCCGCCGTCCGATGATCCCATCACTGGTGTTCGATCCAAAGATGTAATCATCTCCTCAGAACCACCTGTATCTGCCCGTATTTTCCTACCCAGAGTCACAAACCCCAACCAAAAGTTCCCTCTCCTATTCTACATCCACGGTGGTGGGTTTTCCATCATGTCCCCATCCGCCAAGCAATACCATGAATTTTGCAACACCGTCGCCGCGAAAGCAGGTGTTATCATCGTTTCGGTCGAGTACGGACTCTTTCCTACCCGACCCATACCCGCTTGCTATGATGACTCTTGGGCCGGTCTTCAGTGGGTGGCGGGTCATGTCAACGGGAACGGACCCGACCCGTGGTTGAACGATCATGTCGATTTCAGCAAGGTCTTCATTGGTGGAGACAGCGCCGGAGGGAACATTTCGCACACAGTGGCGTTTCGGGTTGGGTCAATAGGGTTACCGCCGAACGTGAAGGTGGTGGGAGTGGTGATGGTGCACCCATTTTTCGGGGGTACCGAGGATGATGAAATGTGGCTGAGCATGTGCCCCACCAACGGCTGACTGGAAGATCCACGGATGAAACCACCGGCGGCAGATTTGGCGCAGCTCGGGTGCGAGAGAGTGCTGATTTTTGTGGCGGAAAAAGACCACCTGAATGTTGCGGGGAAGAATTA